AAAAGCATCAGCAAATTTGCCTTAGTTATTTAATGTTGATCCTGCAAAATGATAATTAAATACCTTGATTATTTTATACATTATCATTGGATTGATTTATGAGGCTAAGTAATAGCCTCATCGTATTTATTGATAAAATTATGTGAGTTTAAAGCAATGGCTTTTGTATTGAAAATAAATTCAATTACCTTTCCAATAATAGACTTGATTTCGATTATAACCCATCCATAATGAATAATTAGAGGCTGCTAATCATTAATGATATTTTTCCTCTTTATATATAATCTATTATTATTTAATTGTTCTCCTAAGAAAAAAGAGAATAAATGAAACCTTTTTTTAAAACTTTCTCTTCTTGAATTCAGATTTTAATGAGTCTATTAATTAACATATTAATTATGGTTCCTTGTTAAATTAGTTTAGTCTTCTTTTCTAAGATAATTCTTTGTCAAAATTCCATGTTTTAAGTGAAATTTATGTATAGAAACTTTTATAAATCAATATTAAATCAAACTTATTTTAATTTAATGATTTTGAGAAAGGTGTTAATTGTTTTTTAACTAATTTTCTGAATTTAGTTTAGTTTTAAGCTTCATTTTATTTATGAATATAAAATCCATTAAAAATAATCTTCTTTTTTGATTTTTATATTTTTCCAACTTTAGATAGAATAAGAAATCATTTATGTATGAGTTTTATTAATTAGAATTTATCAATTAAGTTACAAATTAATTCCAAATTTATTTTTATAATCAGTTTTTTCATATTTAGATAATAATGTGAATTTAATTCCTAAATTTTACATCAAAATCATTCCAATTACTAGAAAAGTTGATTTTTTTATATCAACTTGGTTTATATATTTTAGAAATTTTGTATAATGTTTTTATTATCTTTTTTCCAAAATGGCAATGGAAAAATATCTACTATAATTATTAATGAAAATAACTAGAAATTTTTAATTCTAATTAATATTAAGATTGTTAGCTATATGATAAACAAATTAATTTAATCTGCGAATAAGGATGAAAATGGAAATAATTTTTTTAATATTGAGTATTCAATAAGTTTCATCATTGTTTGTTCTAAAATGTTAATTTGTTTTGAATTCCGAAAACAATGTGAATAAAAAATGCAAAGACTCTATGATTTTTCTATTGTTATTAATTGAATGAATAAGAATATCTAACAAATTGCATGAGAATTCACAATATTCTTATAAACCCAAGTGTGTCACCTGGTAATTAAGTGCTTTAGAATAATTCTTCGATTTCTTACGGCCAGACTTAGCTCTAGCTTAATATAATAGAATAGTAGGTAAAAATATTACATTAATCTTCATCTTCTTCACCACTGCCCATTTCTTCATCATCTTCATCTTTCGATTCAATTGCCTCATCATAATGATCATTATCAATTTTCTTCACTTTTTCATCCCCACCAAACCATAATCGTTCTGAATTGATAAGAATAATCTATACTTTTTACATAATTAATTGCTATGCAAATTTATTATATAATTACTGAATTTAATATTTTGAATGGTTTTTCAATTAGTTTCAATAATTTGGTAGTACTATGTTAAGAGACAATTATTTGAGTTCTCAGCATTATTCTTCTCATTAAAGCAATCATTATAGAAAATCAGGTTATAATCTTATATTGATTTCTTTAAAATTACTTGAAAAAAATAGGTTCATTTAGTTCATTAATCAAAAAAACTCAATTATAATTCTCTAATTACAATAATAATTGTTAAAGAAAGTTCAATTGTAATGATCTTTTATAAAAACTAATTAAAAGTAAACTATTGTCATGCATATTATTATTAACCATTTCCACAGGATTCCAATTAATTATTTTTAGAACACCAATTTTTTGAAAGAAACGAAAAACAGAAAAATATACTCACATTTATATAAACGATTTCTCTATTATCATAAAAACCTCACTAGGTTATAATTGATTTTCAAAATAAATAAATATTAAGCCATTTACAAAAAAATATTATTAGAAAAATTCTTGATTGTTGAATAAATTATTGCAATTTACGTTTATATATAGATAAAATAAATATATAACTCTATTAAATCAATTCGAATGCTTTAAGAATTAGACTTCTGTCTTTTTTAGAGAGTATTTTTTAAATTGTGGGGTTGAATTAAGAGAATCTTCAATTTTATTAGTCTAATCTGATAATTTTTCAATGGTCTAACAAAATTCTAAATTATCTTTGCACATTCCATTTTAATTCTCAAATGATTATTCCCATGTTTTCATTAAATTGCCTATGATTTTTTATACAATATTCTATTACCTAACAATTAAATAGATTCATTCTTAAAATATTCCAATGCTATTTAATGAATAGTTTTAGTATTTTCAAAAAATTTCATAGTTTCAAAAGTAGCCATATTATCATCTTGCATTTTTATTTGTATGCTAAATTTCATGTCTAGCAATACATTCTTTATCATTGAAATCAGATTTATTATTTAAGAATTACTTAATCTTATTGAAAATTTTTTGTCTTGAATAGCAAGTCTACATGAGTTATATAAAGCTATATCTCTTCAAATTGTTTTTTAAATAAACCTATTACTGCTTTTGACTCAATATCGTGTTTTTGAGACATTGATTTATTTTTGAATAAGTAATACAAATAATTTCTTTTTATTTATTTCATATCATTCAATAGCTATTAAAATATTAATTTATCATGTTCTTGTATGATGATTTTATCCTTAATAATATCTTGGCTTTGTGATTTGATAACTATTTTCATTTTTTTATTTTTGGCAAATGTATGAAAAGAATGACAATTATCTTTGAATTATTATGTATATCATCTTTTATTTTTTTAGGGAAATATTTATTTTAAATAATTTTCTGTATTTAACAATCATTTTTGTAAAATTTACAAAATAAGCAGCTTATAAATTTTACTCATTTTATATTTATGACTTAAAACATGAGTATTTTTAATTGATTTGTTGATAGGAGTATATGAAATATTGGAGGATTATTCAATTAAAAATCTTTTTCAACTATTTTTTTAATACTAGTCAATATGTTAAATGAAGTTTGATTCAGCCTATGAAATCAATTACACTGAACTAATAATAGATTTTATTTTTTCATTTCAACATAAATCTTTATGGGAATTCTCATTCTTATAATGATGGAGCTAGTATGGTTGTACTAATTGAAATTCTTTTTTAAATTAAATAGTTCATCATTTCTTGTTTTATGCATCCCCCCCATTTTTGAATTAAACATCTGCATAAAATCTTTGAAGAGAGAAATATCATATTTAGCTAACAAAGGATTGTAATTTTTTAAACAAAATATATTATTTAATTTTAAAGTTTAAATTGAAGTGAATTATTTATTAGTGTGGAAACATTCTAACTTTTCTAGAATCAAAGTTTGTACTTATTAAAATCAAAAAATTAAAGAATATAATTTAAAATTAGTAACTCATAAATAATAGGGTAGATTAATAATAATAAATTTGGAGATGGGGTGAAAGTTAGGAACACTAACAAAAATTGAATCTAATGTGTCAATTATGAAATAAAAAGGAAATGATTACTCATAAAAACATCTTGATATGTATTTATTGCTTGAATTTATTTAGAATTTCTAAACATATACTTTGTTTAACCATTTGATGATGTAATTACAGCTTATCAAATGGAAAAAACTCAAATTATAAATCATTACCCAACTCTCAAGTCTTTATCAAAAGTGTATTGGGATAAAGGATTAAAAGGACACTATGCCGGTTGGTAGCAGCCTTATCTACTCCAGAATGGATTATTAGGAAAGATTACATGATTTTCCAAATGATTTTTGAGATAAAAATAACAATACTACCACTGATTATTTTGACAATAATATTATCATTATAATTAATCACATTATAATTAATTTTCCAGTCCCAATAATTGAACCTGTTAAGCATTTTGATACATGTGATTTATTATTTTGGCAGCTATTAATCTTATTTATTTACAGGATGTTATCTTTCATATAAGGTAAATTTTTAAGGTTCATGTGACTTAATAGATATCATTATTAAGGATATTTTTTGCCATTATTTTTTCTGATTATTTATATCAAATTAATCAATTAACGTTTAATGATTTATTAATCTTTTTATACATGTGATGATGTTAATTATTAATTGTTAGATTATCATAAGTAACTTTTTTATTTTTAATTTCTTTATTGAGTACTAAAATTATGTATAGATCGTTTTGAATTTAATATTTATTTGAAATTTGTCATTCAAAAGGTTCAACAACATATTTAATGGGTTTTTCAACAATAACTTACTGTTAAATTAATATAACTCTTTCACTTGATAAAAGTTATTAACCAATTTTTTCAAATTTTAAGGAATATTATTTGTAATAGGGAGAAGAACAGAATAAGAACATGTTTTATAATATTAAATTTCTTATCTATTTTAAGTATCCAGACTAATGAATATATTAAAATAATAATTGGATAGATATTGAATAATGGGATTTACATAAAATGAATATCAGAATTTTTCTCTAAAATAAAATCTGAATCCTTAATCTAATTTGTTATTAAACAATGATAGGGTCTATTTTTATTTTCAATATAGTTATCTAATTTATAACTGAAGAAGAAATAAGTGATATTATCATAAATAAAATAGTTGCTGTTGAAAGTAGATGTTTACTGTGCAGTCAATCAAATACTAAGTATATCATTTTTCAAAATAATAATTAGAATTATGATCTCCTTGTTTTAAGAAATGTACTTATTAAAGACTTTAATTATCCTAAGTGTTTATTTAACTAAATACCTTTTTAAGCAATCAATTCTTAAAAGTCTGTCAACTTATTAATAGGAATTTCATTCTATTTATTGGGACTACTTTTTAGAATTGAGGTGATACTTATAGTATGTAGACTAATATCTTTATTCAATTCTTTGTTATTTATGAGATAAATTAAGCATTTAGGTATCAATTTAGTTATGATTACTCTTTCAAAACATTTATAATCATTATGCTTTTAAGTCATCTAAGTTCATGATTTTTGTTCTGTGACATATGAAAAATCAATCTTTTCGATTTCTTGAATTCAAATTCATTTATCTCAAATCGTTTATCTACTTCCAAAATTTCAATTCATGAATTTAACGTAGTATTATAGATTATTAATATTAAATTATCTCAAACAAAATTATAAAAATTATAAAAGAGTTTATAATTCATAAGTAGAATCATTCATTATAATGGTCTGAGTTCCAAGAATTTAATTGAAATTCCTGGAATGTTCATTATCTTTTCAGCCTATATAATCCAATCATATATAGAATTTTTATTGAAAGTACTTCTTTTTACAAGAAATTGTTTACCAATTTGATTCACTTTGCCTTCATCCATATCCTCAAATGGCATTTTCTATGATGATAGATCCATTACCATCATAATAGTAAATGATAATCTAAATCTATAAAAATATATATACTTATTATTTTCTTCTTTTACTCCTAAAGCAAGAGCATCATTCTAAATTTTACTTAATTTTGTATTTGGATCTTTTTGCATAAAATTTAAGTAATCATTAATCTTAGCCTAATTAGTAGTTTAAAATTATGCTGGCACTTAAATTTTGACAAATCTATGATGCATTTTAACTTCAGTAATAACTATTTCTAAATCCTATATGCCTTGATCAAGAGGTTAAGTAATGTTCTCTATTTTAGCTTCTTCGTTTAGAGGAGAAGGAGGAGAATAATCATCAATTCTGGGTTGATTATAATCAATTAATGCCCAAGAATGATTTCCTCCTGCAAATAATTATTTAATTCTTCTTTATTCCAAGAAATTGATTCTTGACCTAATTATCCATGTTATGCATATCCACAAGCATAAACAATACCTTTATTTGATAATAATAAACTATGATGTCCTCCTAGACTAATTTCCTTTATAGTTGATTCTATATTCAAAATTTATAATACCTTATTTATTCTACACATAAAAATCATCAATAATAATATGTTTTTGATTGAAATTAATT